CGCCCCACCCTGCGGGCGTGTGGCCTGGCCCTGGGGACACCCTGGAGGAGCACACCTCTGTCCCTGGGCCCCGAGGAGGGAGGCAGGGGAAGAGCGTGGCCAGCTGGGATCTTTTAAGCCTAATCAGTTTCTTCCACCTTCAGGATAAGCCGCTTAGACTAGAGCAGCCCAGGCTGGGGGAGGGCCGGAGTGTTGTGGGTGTCGATGGAGGGAGAGCGGAGCGTGAAGGAGGATATTAGGGCATTTTTGTCAATAAAGGAAACACCACGATGGGAAAAAACAGCATTTCAGTGAAGGGATCCAGCTCCCTCCAATCCTGCCCGAGTTCTCGCTCCTGAGTGAAAGGGTCGGAGAGAAGAGGGTGGTCAAGGAATTCCCCGACTATCCGGGTTCAAGGAGGCTGCCCCCGCCCCCGCCCATGGGGACATCTGGAAATGTCTGGTGGCATGTGTGGCTGTCACGACTGTCAGCATGGAGTGCCACTGACGGCCAGCGGGTGGTGGCCAGGAACCCTGCTGGACACTCTCAATGCGCGGGAGACCCCTCCCCAACCAAGAAGCCCCAGCCCAGACGCCCACCATGCGGAGCCGAGGACCCTGCTGTGCATGGCCTGAGCTCAGGCTGGCAGGCCCTCCTCCCCGTGCTGTGCCCCGTAGGGGGGGGGGATGGGGGAGAGGGGGCTGGGTGCACGTCTGGAGCAAGAGCACTTCTCCCGCAGGGGCCGGGGAGTCGGGGAAGAGCACCATCGTCAAGCAGATGAAGTGAGTGAGCAAAGCCCCGAAGGACCGAAGGACCGGGTGGGCCAGGGAGTGGCAGAGCCGGCAGAGGGGAGGAGGGGCGCCTGGGCCTTAAGGAACCCTGATGTCAAGAATAGAAGGGACCCACGCCCCTCCTCTGCACCCCTTGCCTCTAACTCTCCACTTTGGAACAGAGATCAGGTTCTTAAGAACCTTTAGAGCAGTAGTTCCCAGCCTTTTCTGGCCACGCCCCACCTAATCATCTCTAAAACCCTGATGCCCCCCCTCACCCAACATAGAATTCTTACTATTCAAAAAGTGAATCCTACTCAGGTGGAGGAAGCCTAAAAGGCCATTCACTTGGTCTAAACAAGCTTCCAAAGAACATGACACCCATGAAAGACAAAAATAAAAGAACAAAAGGACAGCTGAAGTACTGAGGGAAGAAGCCCTAAAAAATTGTTTTAAAAAATATGAAGTGATATGAAAAAATAGCAAAGTTTCAAAACATATAATAGAGAACTGAAATGCATAAATATATCACAATACTATATATACATATATTTTATATATTTTTATTGATTTTAGAGAGGAAGGGAGAGAGAATCAATGATGAGAGAGAATCACTGATTGGCTGCCTCCTGCACGCCCCTTACTGGGGATCGAGCCCGCAACCCAGGCATGTGGCCTTGACCAGAATCAAACCTGGGACCCTTCAGTCTGCAGGCTGACACTCTATCCACTGAGCCAAACCGGCCAGGACACAATATATATATTTATATACTGTATATGAGGCCCCTAGAACCATAAGAAATGAAAAAAATTCACTGTGAATAGCCCATTCTCGAATTGCCCCCCTGTGGGGCGTGTGCCCACGCTGGGAAGCACTGCTGTAGAGCCTCCCAGATCCGCAGCCCCTAGGCCTGGCTGCTCAGGCCCCGCTGAGGGCCGGGCGCACTCCCTGCAGGATCATTCACCAGGACGGCTACTCGCCGGAGGAATGCCTGGAGTACAAGTCCGTCATCTACGGCAACGTGCTGCAGTCCATCCTGGCCATCGTCCGCGCCATGTCCACCTTGGGCATCGACTATGCCCAGCTGAGCTGTGCGGTACGTGCCCGACGGGATGGGGGTAAGCCTGGAGGGGGAGGTAGGCTAACAAGGAGCAGACCAGCGGCCACAGGTCCGAAAAGTTGGTGTAACTAGAATCCCACCTGCTGAGTTTCCAATCTTTTTAGTTCGGAAGGCGGGTGCACATCTGGAGAAGCATGCAATTCTGCTTTTTTTTTTTTAAGTGTTTTTATTGATTTCAGAGGGGAAGGGAGAGAGAGAGAGAGAAACATCCATGATGAGAATGATTGATTGGCTGCCTCCTGCAGGCCTCACACTGGGGATCGAGCCCACCACCAGGGCATGTGCCGTGACCGGGAATCGAACCGTGACCTGGTTCCTAGGTCAACACTCAACCCCTGAGCCACGCCAGCTGGGCTGCAAGCCCGACCTTTACCGTAATGTTTTCTCTGCCTTACTTTACCATTTAAACAGTTCCTTGGGCTCCTCGCCCGGCCGTGGGACTGTGACAAGCTCGATCCCTCGTTCCAGGGTTGGCCTTTTCCTACACCTCACAAAGGTGACAGGCTGCTGCCTTCCGTCGTGCCCACCTCTCCGTCAGTCTGCTCTGCGAACGCGCGGTCTCCACGAAGCAGAGGGCACGTGCTGGGGCGCATGCTCTGGCCTAAGGGTGGAGGGTGGAGACACCCAGAGGAAGCCCCTGGGCCCTCTGCCCGGCACCCCAGGACTGGGTGCGTGGCCACCCTCTGCATCTCGGAAGCCCACTCAGAAATTAGTGTTTTCTTAGGTGGACTCTCCCCTGGACACTGCCTCCGGCTCAGGAGGCTTTGGGAGCGATGCCAAGTGCTGCCCTCCCAGCATAATTCCCAGAGGCCTCCTGGGAAGCCAGGACTCCCTGTGGTTCTCAGCCAGGGTTCTGCCTTACAGGATGACGGGCGGCAGCTCAACAACCTGGCCGACTCCCTGGAGGAGGGCACCATGCCCCCCGAGCTGGTGGAGGTGATCAGGAGGCTGTGGCAGGACGGCGGGGTGCAAGCCTGCTTCGACAGAGCGGCAGAGTACCAGCTCAACGACTCAGCGGCCTAGTAAGGCTCGTTGGGGACGGGGCAGGATGAGGCGTCCGTCACCTTCTAGGAGACATCACACGGGCCTGAAGTTCCAGGCACTGAAAGCTGGGAGACCCAGGGACTGAAGTTGGCCTGTTGCCTGTTGGGCCTCAGTGGTATTTTACTTGTGCTCGGAACTGAATGCCTTTAGGTCAGGACATGGGCCACAGCTCCCACGCTCCCTACTGCTTAATTTATTTATTTATTACTGATTTCAGAGAGGAAGGCAGAGGGAGAGATAGAACATCAATGATGAGAGAGAAGCATGGATCGGCTGCCTCCTGCGCACCCCACACTGGGGATCAAACCCCCAGCCTGGGCATGTGTCCTGACCAGGAATCAAACCATGACCTCCTGGTTCATAGGTCAACACTCAATTACTGAGCCACGCCAGTCAGGTTCAAATGAGAATGTAAACGTGAAATTCCTGCCATACAGTAGGAACCGGTGTTAACTTTCCTTCTCGCTTTCTCTCGGTCCCTTCACTTCACATCTGCCTTCTTCCTGCCACCACCTTCTTTTTTGAACTTTAAAAAAAATGGTAACTGGCAAACATATACAAAAGTAGAATATACAACGCATCACCAGGCTTTCACTGTTATCAACTCATGGCCACTCTTATTTCATTTTATCTTCATCCCCCACTGGATTATATTGAAGTAAATCCCAGATATCCTATCATTTCATCCTAAACATTTCATTATGTATCTCTAAAAATAAGGGCTCTTTTTAAAAACAAATCACAACATAATCACTACAACTAAATACTTAAAATTCCTTAATGTCATCAAGTAGCCAAGTCAGTGATCATTCAAGTTTCCCCAATATGTCAACGGTTCCCCCAACTCGATTCAGGATATAAACGTTGCAGTGACTCGCGTCTCATGTGTGCTAGTTTCTTAACCCACTCCTATGTTTTTGATGGAACTCCTGGCACCTTTAAAACCACCAAACCTCATTCGAGAGTCTAGAAAACCCTTTAGCCAGGGGAAATGCATGGAAGTTACCTGACGTGACTTCAATGGGGCGGAACCGCTGCCTCAAACGGATGTGGCCCCCAGCCCACGCCACACTCTCTCTTGTGAGGAGACCCGAGGACCTGAAGGGAAGAACCCTGACTTTAACAATCTGGATTCTAGTCCTGGTTCTACCGCCAAGTTAGTTGTATGCCTTTGGGTAAGATTCTTGACCTTCCTTGGCCTTCGCTGTAAAAATTTAATGTCACCGATGCCAACCACTTTTCTCTAGCTACCTGAACCAATTAGACCGGATTACGGCCCCCGACTACCTCCCCAATGAGCAAGATGTGCTACGATCCAGAGTCAAAACCACAGGCATCATCGAGACCAAGTTTTCCGTCAAAGACTTGAACTTCAGGTGAGAACGTGGTACCCTGAAAGCACCTCTGACATCAGAGGGCACGGGCGTGCGTCCTGACCTTCACTAAAGCCCACCTGAATCAGTGTCCTTCCCTGTCCCTCTCACTGCCACCAGCCGCCTCCCTGGGGGTGGACACCAGACCTGGGGGCCACCCCCGCACATGCCTGGAGGACAGCTTTCCGCCCTCAGGATGTTCGATGTGGGAGGGCAGAGGTCGGAGAGGAAGAAGTGGATCCACTGCTTTGAGGGAGTCACGTGCATCATTTTCTGTGCGGCCCTCAGCGCCTACGACATGGTGCTGGTGGAAGATGATGAGGTGGTGAGTGGCCTCCTAGCCCCTGCTCCAGGTTCTCTCTCTTCTCCTTAGATCACGTTCCATCCGGGCACCCTAGATACCTTCTAGCGAAACATCTCACAGGGCCGCTCATTTCCCAAGATCTCTTCAAGTCTACGAGGTCTGACAGGGTTTTGCAGGAGTCTTAGCAATGACAAAAGGCTGCACGTTACATTTGTTTTCTTTCTCATTAGATGAAAAGATGGGGCCAAGTTAGCTAAGAGCATCCTTCAAGACCCCAATGGCCTGCTCCCCGAGACCAGGCTGGCCCGGGCCCCCTCTGGGCTCTGCAGATACACAGCCCCCGTTCTCCTCGCTCAAAGTGGCGCTCAGAGAAGGAAATGGCATAAGTGCTTGTGGTGTGGCACCGGGCTCTCCCATCCTCACCGTTCGGCACCATTTACATTCCTGCCCAAACTGAGACCCGGGACCCCATCACAGAAGCCCATCAAAACCATCCTGGAGACGCAAATGGGCACATGCCAACAAGGGCCCAGTCTCAACCCTGGGTCAGTAGCGCGTGCGGATGTCACAATCCTTAGTGTGCCCTGGCTCCCAAAGACCTGCGTGACATTCATGGCCTTCACGATCACGGGCACGTTCCATACATGACCTCGTTTAACCTGTGTAATAACCCTACGAGATAGGGAGACAGACCCAGAAAAGCGTGATGATAAGAGCAGGAGGAATCCAGAGTCTGTTGGCTGTTCTAGAGAGAGAAGCTGTTCCCTATCTTGCTTTTGGCATTTGGCACTCGTGTCTCCCAGAGCAGGAGGCAAACACCCATCCCATAAGCCCAGCCTGGTGTCTCTGCTGCATTTCCTCCCCTAGAATCGTATGCATGAGTCCTTGCACCTGTTCAACAGCATCTGCAACCACAAGTTCTTCGCGGCCACGTCCATTGTCCTCTTTCTCAACAAGAAGGACCTCTTTGAGGAGAAAATCAAGAAGGTGCATCTCAGCATTTGCTTCCCAGAGTATGATGGTAAGTGTCAGGGCTGGGGACAAGGTAAGGCTTTCTCAGTGATGACTGGTGGTGCCATTCCCCACACCAAGCAGACAGGGAGGAACTTGTCTCTGAGGAGCACTCAGTAAACACCCCCGCCTGTGCCAAGTTGATGACTCCTTCTCCCTTAGCTCTCCTTCCTCTTGGGAGCTCTGTGATGTCCAAGTGACACTTGGCTGTCTCAGCTGAGAAACTTGGGCATCCAGTTCCAGGTTGTTCAAGTTTATTTTTTATTGCTTGGAGAGAGGAAGGGAGAGGGAGGGAGAGTTAGAAACCTCAATGACGAGAAAGAATCGTCGCCCTAGCTGGTTAGCTCAGTGGATAGAGCTAAGTTTACATTCAGGTGTCTCTGGAACAGAGCAGATGTCAGATGCAGGAGAGCCACCGACTGCCTATTCCAACAGAATCTACCAGAAACCAAGGGTGGAGACATAGGCACCTCTCACCTCGATTTCTTTGCTCAACTCAAGCGAGAAACACGGGAGTGCAGTACAGGAGGGGCCTTCCCTTCAAAACGGCATTTCTTTTCACTCATAACACTCTGAGGGTCAAGTCAGTCACCTAAAAAGCAAGTGAGCAACTAAGGGTTAATTTATCCCATTTCTTCACTATTTTTCTGGAAAACCAGGGAACAACTCTTATGAGGATGCAGGGAATTATATCAAGAGCCAGTTCCTTGACCTCAACATGCGAAAAGATGTCAAAGAAATCTACAGTCACATGACCTGCGCTACGGACACGCAAAACGTCAAATTTGTCTTTGACGCAGTTACAGATATTATCATCAAAGAAAACCTCAAGGACTGCGGGCTCTTCTAACCTCCATCATTTCCCACGTGTATCTTCCACGAACAGGCTTGGAATCTGGGCAATTTTGAGCAGAAAATGTCCGGTCACGACACCATGAGATGGGGAATGAATGCGTGCTCCCTTGGAGGTGAGGTATACATGCCTGGACGGTCTCTCTCACATTCTTTTCAAAGCAGCGTAGCCAGTGAGTTTAAAGAGCCCGAGGCCAGGAGCCAGAAGACCCAGGCTCCAGGACCGGTTCTGCAACTCACTGCAAAACATTTTATTTCTCAGGCCTCAGTCCCTCACCCGTAAAGTGAAGGGAACTCCTCTACTACTTCACGGGGCTCTCCTGATGATCACAGACCTAACTGCGGGGAAGGCACAGAAAGGCTCTGTGGTTAGAGTCACAGAAAGAAATCCTATGTAAACGCTGCCATTTATGACAATCAATACCAGGTTTTTTGATGAACTAGCCCAAGCAAAACAGCAAAAATCAATTAAAAACAAAACCTTGATAACCCTACCACCCCTTTTTACTAACAGACATCTCTCTATGTGCCTTAGCTCAGACATCCAGATCACTGAATAGAGGTGTTAGTTTTGAAGGCACATATAGAAGAACAATCATTTTATTAAGCAGACTACCCCTCTGCCCCCCAAAAGACCGAGTTCCCTTTATCTATAGGTAACTGTTTCTCAGCTATACAGGACACTTTCTAAGTAAGCTTGGAGTATTAATGATTTTATTGCTGCTACTCCTCTACCATAGAATCTACAACAAGTGAGCAATCCTAAAATTCTCATTTCAACTGCTATTTGTTTCATAATAAAAAAGGCAGCGGATCTTGCTTTAGACAATAAACATCTTTGCAGTTGGGTGGGTCCATGTAACGTCTGGCTGAAAACATCTTCCCAAACAGACCACTAAGCAAATTATTCCTCTGAACTCCTCTGAGGGGAGACGAAGCTTGCATTAGTCTTGACAGGAGCGGTGAAGGATGGATTTAGCATTTTTACAACTACCAGTGAGGAAGGCTCTTGGCAGCAAGATTTAGTATCTCGAAGAACGTGTCAATTAAAATGAAAATACACTCTTTGCCAGAAGCACACATTCACACTGAGGCTGCTACCAGCAATGTTGATACTAGGGAACCATATGAGCTTGTAACACACTGAAGACGACACTGCAGCTGTTAAAATTGGATTCATTCACTAGTCTGAATCCTTGAAAAGAAACCAACTTGGGGGAATGAAGGAAAACTACTCTGCCTACTGCCACTTAAAAACTTAAGCCAAAGCCTGGCTGGCGTGGCTCAGTGGCTGAGCGTCCATCTATGAACCCGGAGGTCACGGTTTGATTCTGGGTCAGAGCACATGCCCAGGTGCAGGCTCGATCCCCCACACTGGCAGCCGATCAGATTCTCTCTCATCATTGATGTTTCTGTCTCTCTCTCTCTCTCCCCCAAATCAATAAAAAAGTATTTTTTAAAAAGGAAACAAACCGAAACTCAAGTCAAAGAAAAAATCTGGGTAAGACTTCTTGTATCCAAGAGCTGTTCAGGGACTTTTCTAAATGGCTTGCTCCAACCATGACTTACCTGTTTGCTTTAATTCTACATACAGGGGTTCTGAGGTTTTTGTGGTGGTTTTTTTGGTTTTTCATTTTTTGTACTAGAGGCCCAATGCACGAAATTTGCGCAAGGGGCTCGGCCCTTGCAGCTCGGCAGCCTCGTGGCCCTGCCCACTGGTTGTTCCGGAAGGTCGGCCCACCGTCCAGTCTAATTAGCATATTAGCTCTTTATTATATAGGATATGGATCCCTCTGGCAGTCTAATGAGTCCTATGGGCCCTTCTCAGGATATTTAAATGGCATTAAGTAAGTTCGGGGATTTACAAAGGAAGCCAACACACAGAGTACAGGTCTATCTTTGCAGCTCTGAAGCACCGGGTTAGAATCCCCGCTGCAGCTGTGACCTGTCACACAGGCCTCCCATGCAAATGTATCCCATTTAATCCATCTTCAAATAGGGAGGACCCACTTCCCCCCAATCATACCACATTGTAGAATATTTTTAAAAAAAGATTTTTTACTGATTTTTCTGAAAGAGTGAGTGAGACAGAAACATCACTGTGAGGGCAAAACATCCATCAGCTGCCTCCTGCACGCTCCCCGCACTGGGGACTGAGCCTGCAACCCTGGCACATATCCTGACCAAGAATCAAACTGACAACCTTTTGGTGCCCTCTGGTCATGAAAATGTAAGCAATGGTGTGAACAGAAAATAAAACAAAGACCTTTCATTGAACATCAACCTACAACAAGGAGGTCATGGTTCAATTCCCGGTCAGGGCACATGCCTGGGTGCAGGAGGCAGCCGATCGATGATTCTCTCTCATCATTGATGTTTCTATCTTTCTCTCCCTCTCCCTTCCTCTCTGAAATCAATAAAAATATATTTTAAAATAACACACAAAAAAAAACAGACCTTTCACCTGCTCCGCATGTAGTTGAACTTCATTTCAGGTCTTTAAAATGAATATGGGACACTGAGATGCTGAGACAAGATGAGCAGCTACAGACTCTGCAGTGTAGTCTTGAGTATCACGAATATTTACAAAGCACCTTTAAATGTCATTTCTATGTGATGAGAACCATGGAACATCATAGTTGGGAGATATAACTAAGCCCACTTTTAGTTCACAGAATAGGGATATAAGACCAAAAGATTTCCTAGCTGGTTGGAAACGGGGGAAAACAGAATCCAGCTCACAAAACAACTCTCCAACCTCCTCAGATTCTGGGGCCTCAGGACCTTCATCCTACATGAGCAAGAATGAACAATTAGAACAGGTAATTTCTTGTGACTTGTTATGTCTCCTGGGGGAATCTCTCATACATGGAATATGGGTACACAACGGAGGATAATAGAAGTTAGGAGATAGAAAAATCCAATTGTACAAAATTTAATATTCCAGCTCTCAAACCTCACAGCTTAGTGAATGCTCGTACACGGAGATGGTGTGTCCCAGCTGTGTCCTTGCTAATTATTTTATGATCGCTGCTACCTTGTTGATTCCCACTAGACTTCAGGCAAACATTGGCACCGGGCACAAAGCCTTTACTACTGGACTCCTCCATCATTCCCCTTACCCACCCTGTCCCAGGCGCCTCAGAAAAGACTTTCACTCCAGTTTAGGCTAGCTGCGCTCTTCATCCATGAACGGTAGATTCATGGCATTACATTTACAGTTAGCTCTGTCACAGGATTTTGTTTTTAGTGTGGTGTGTGAATCTTTCCATTTCCAACGCATAAATAAATGCAGTGAAATAAATGTTTACAAATCCCAGTTTCTTGTTTTGTCTTAATTTTGTGTAAAAACTAGATAGTATAAGTCATGTACAAAAAGTGCTTCTTACTGGCAAATAAAAAGTAGCCTGGCCAAGGAATGTCCCCATCTTCGCCGTGGCTCTCCGCTACCTACTCCTGTGTAACATTCCTCACTACCTTATTCCTGAGAAGACAGGCCTGACCCAGGCTTGACGCAGAACCAGGAAAACTGCCCTGCCCTGCCCGGACTTGTTCAGAAGTATGTGTTCCTCAGTAGAACTAACTCATAAAAGGTTATGAGAAAATTGCAGGTGTGTGTGGG